ATTAAAAATAAAAAATATAAAGCAAGCAACTGAGAGTTTGAAGCACTTTAAAATCAAAAAATGATTAAAAAAATACTCTAGAGTTTTAATCCATTATTTTTTTCTATTGTGCTCAGCTTACTAGTTAAATTGATTTTAATTTTATTTTTAAAGGTTAGGATACTAGAATTAATTTTGAGTATCTTTCAATTACCCAAAATTCTTTTTAATTCTAATCTAACAATTCTTTAGCAAAATTAGATCATTAACTTCAAATCATTTCTAACCACTTAGGTCCTTTACGTACATTCCTATCCTAAAGAGTAATCATTTATAGTTAATCCTAAGCATTTAATTTCAATGGTTCAAATAAAAATTCCTTTCCTAAGTTCACTCTATTCCTCTAAATTATCATTTAATGGTGGCTAATCATTAAGCAACACAAAGATAAACTAGAATTAAAATATAAAACATCCATTAAATAACAAAGAAATCAGTGAATCAAGATACAATCGGAGCAAATGAGTTTATAAGACTTTAGAACATCAAGGTTCAGCCACACATAGCTAAATATAATCTCAAAATAGCAGAATAATAAGATAAAATCAAATACATATGAGAAAGAAGGAGAAAAGTGAATGAAAACTTAATGAAAATGTGGATGGCAATGAGTTTGCTCCTAAGCTCAAAAATCATCTCAAGCTCTCTAAAATGACCTTTAGACTTTTAGGGAACATAAAAAACGAAGCCTCTCTCAAAAAACCATAATTTCCCTCTTTTTTCAGACAAAAAAATTGAAATTGTGCATTTTAGTGTAAAATTTGCTATAGCAAGCTTTATTTTTAGTTCAAAATTTACTTTACAACATTGACCTATTATAGCGGGTGATCATTAAAATTATTATATTTTCCTTCCTTCTACTCTTCCAAACTTTTATAATGGTTCCCAAAATTAAAATGACTCAAATTAATAAAAGAAGTTATTTAAGATAAAATAAAAAATTAATCATTTAATCCGTATAGTTTTAACCTAGATGCAGCTCAATTCCTGAAATTTGACTCGATTGTAAATTAGTCCCTGAATTTTATTTCTTACAAGTTAGTCATTGAAGTTTTAACCTCTTAAATATTGATCCCTATATTTTAAAAAATAAAAATTATAACATTAAAAATATTTTAAAATTTTAATATTTATAAATATTAAAAAGGTTTTGTAATTTAAGACACTAGTAATAAATTTTAAAATACTTTTAATTTTTATAATTTTATTTTTTAAAATATAGAGACGGATATTTAAGAGGTTGAAACTTTAAAAACTAAATTGTAAGAGAAAAAGTTCAAAAACTAATTCACAATCGAGTTAAAACTTCAGGGATTAAATTATAACGAGTCAAAGTTTAAGGACTACGTTACAATAGGGTCAAAATTATAAGGGCTAAACGATTAATTTTTCAAGGTAAAATTAAAACATAACATTTAAAAGACAAGCTAACTAATACCAAAATAAATACTAAACACAAGATAAATAACTAAAAATAATTAGATAACTCTTCAATTGGCTAATAAAACTCCTCAAATTATATGAAACTTGAGAGAGTCTTCAAGAGTCTTCAGTTTTATCATTTGTCAGTAGGTTTATATCTCTGTTTTCCTTGGTCCCAATTTTTAATTATATGTTTTTCGATATATCTATTTTGCATGAATTATAGTATTCGTCAACTGCAAGCTTTGATTTATACAATTTACAGGTACTATCCTCTTGAAAATACAAATCCCTCCTCAATGAGACATTTTTATTTCATCTTTTATAAAATTGTCGTTTTAATTCTGATATATCATATCTGCATTTTTACCATGCACAATGATACATCTTGAACCCTCAAAAATACTATTTTATCTTTTTATGTCTGTAATTGTTTTTTTGTTATTTTCATATATGGTTGGTGGACATAAATACATGATTAATAAGTAATAACAATCTCATTTCCACGAGATCAAACTGAAATTGCAACGGGGAGGTGTACACCCTCTCAGATCCTCTCCATGCACGAGGATACCGTTTGGGCCTAAAACAAAACAACAAAAGGAAAAGCCCAAAGGAAATGAAGAAGAAATAACAGGTCCTATAAAACCACTTGCTAATACAAGGCCCGGTCCATTTCAAGGCAATCTTTCAAGCTAGATACATGCTGAGCTGGCAAAAATAACCCGTAAGACTCAAAACGACTAAGCACAAACGACTGCTGTTGGGACATGGGGCCATTATCTTAGTGTGTGCCCCAAATCTCATGAGGCTGTCAATTGGTTTAAGTGAGCGTCGAGTCGTGAAGAATATTAAGTCTTGAGACTTGGGATGATCGAGTTATGTAGATCATTATTTGTACCCTAAATCTTTGGAGATCATGCCATGCATAGCGAATATTTCGGCATACGGGCTTCGGATGTTGCAAGATTAATAGACTCAGATCAACATTATAAATATACAAGTCCAAAAAAGAAAGAAGGCGGCAATAAATAATCAAGAACTTATACAAAACACTTTGTTGCTCACATTTTTTTTCCATACTGATTTGTACTTAGAATTTAATTTATTTTCTAGTTCCATTGTAATACTTGTATTACTTGCAACTTAGTTCAGCAATTAAATTAAATTTCCATTATCCTTGCATTATTGCATCAGGGTAAATCAAGATAAGAGAACTCAAAAACTCTTTTATTACATCTAGGATTTTGTGTCTTTAATACACCAGGTACTTGTTCAAACCTAATAACATATACTTTTTTTTTTCGGTTGGCTTTTCATCTAGAGAGGGACACGCATGACAAGATATGATTGTGTGTAGAGCTTAATTAGATAAAATAATTAGGGATTTGAATTCAATGAATATACTTAGTACAGTTGTTGAATGCCTGTATTATCTGAGCCATTAAAATCTAAATTAATGTTTATGAATTTATATTCTATTCGAGATTAATAAATTCATAACTATCAATTTGAATTTTAACAATTCAGATGATATATAAGTATTCAACAAGTATAATTATCGAATTCAAATTCAATAATTAGTTGGTATGAGCTGGCGGAAGAAATTCGGTATGAGGCCAACAACTCTGATATTGTTTTCCCTTGATTATCTCTATTCTCGTTCATTCGGCCATGCTCATGACGGACCAAGTTGAAACCCACAATTCCGGGGAAGATTAAGTTGAAAAACAAGGGATTAATGGTGACTCAACTATAAAGGATTTGCATCGGGCAAAATGAAAATTTAGTCTGATGAATTATATTCATTTGGCGAAAGGGGACCGTTGGTAGATTGTAGGACATGGGACCGGGACTTCCAAGTGGCGTCTCAAACGTCACTGAAGGGGGACATGTTGCATTTCGTGTTGTGTTTTATTTTAAGACTGGTCTATACACTACGAAGGTGAAAAGTAACGAGAGTGCTTACACAATTACAGGATAGTGAAGGAAGAGAAGTGATCCATATGAGTTTTTGCACGTTTGATTTAACTACTTACGTGGAGAAGCTGGTTCCGTACCCAGGGAAATTCACCATTTGATCGGATGAAAGAGGAAGATGACCTTCTTAAATCAGATATTACCTCTGGACACGGGGCGGAATTAAAAGCAAGTTGTACAAAGAAATAACAAATTAGAGGGAATGACAGTTCTTGTTCTCTCCCCCCCCCCCCTCTCTCCCTATAATAACATGAACAATCCATTTTCCCTGCCCAAAATTGGCATTTCCTCCTCCTCTCTTTCCTTCTGGGTTGATGGATGGGCTTCCTTTCACGTCTGATTTTAAATGCAGAATACAACACTCGCAAGAGAGAGAGGGCAGAGAGAGATTCCAAATTAGATTATTTTTATTCACCCATGAAGGAGTGGACGGTGGGGGACAAAACTTACAATGACAACAACGGTGGGGGGCTGAAATTTATATATGTATCTACAAGTTTTGCGAGACAAAACTTGAATTTCAGCGAAGGATGATGGGACGATGGGACAAAACTAATTTGTCCCACTTGTATCCGCCACTCACGGCATAGTAGGCCAACGTTTCCTCCTTCACTCTCCTTTTTGTGTGTACATGCTTACCTATTTTCCAAAGAATATGAACATATATAAGTTAAGTGTGAAGATAAAAGTCAGAACGAGGAGCCACTATTTTTTAGTGGAAATTGTTCATCACCCGCTTAATTAAACGAGCACGAGAAGCATGCAAGAAATCCACGTGAGGTCCCCCAAGTCACCCTCCTTTGTATATAATGGTGAGAGTGACCTGTGTGCTGACAGTTACTCGCGGCCTTGCAATCTTCGCATACGCAAGCCACTTTTACCAATCGCATATGGGCACGTGCGTATGTACTTAATTTCTAGACCACGGGTTCTTTGTTGAATCTGAGTATGGCTTGCTCAAATCACTCCCTCCCTCCCTATAAATTAATTAACATCACCACACACGCAGATAACCCTTCAACTTCCATTCAAGTGACAGATCAAATCTGTGTGCCTTCCATCTGTTTTAAGAGGACTGAAAAAGACATGCAATATATATGTATATATATAAGTCGACATCAGAGGTCACATTTATTAGTAAGCATTTCATCCTTTCCTTATTTATTAGCTACCAAGTTTTATTTATCTTGTTAAGAGATGGACAGATACTCATTTTTAAGGGAGCAGATGAACCTCTGAAGATAATACAAGGTCAGAGATTCAGACCATATGATTGGTTTTGACATTTTCTTTGCTCCTAGTTGTCCTTAATGTGTTGCTAAGTAAATAACAAATATCATCCCTTGGGCATGCACGACCGGGCGCCAAAGTTTTGGTGGCGTCCTGGCCTCCCAAACACAAAAAGGTTTCATCAAATTAATAAAAATTAGTTGAAACTGCGATTGGATGACGTCAACTGTATATATTGGCCAATCAGCACCGTTTTTTATTTTTTCTTGTTCGCAATATAATCCCGTCCAACTAAAGCCTCAAACAATAGAATTAATTTACCATATACTCTGTATAGATCAGCCGCACTCCCAGTTGGAGGCTTTCATATATTCCTCCACTTTCAGCGCGCGCATGACAGATTAGTTTATTAAGAGTGGCGTGGAATGGGCGGATAAATCTTCAGCAGCAATTTAAATGATGATTAACAAGGAGGAACGCGGAGGCGCAGGTATCCCCAGACTCTTGAAACTCGGCCATGAGCGTACCTGGGTCACCATGCCTCATGTTCTGGCAAAGGCATCGCCGCCGCCTGCGGCACCCGCTGAGCTCATGGAGCCACCGACGGTGACCTATGACAACAGGACCATGGCCATCATCATGGGTGTCGTGGTGGTGGTATTCTTCGTATCTGGCTTCGTTTCCCTGTACAGTCGTCAATGCGGGCACCGACGCACCCGATTCCGAGGGCACATCGACCTCGCTTTTCCAACGGGGCCGCCGCAATCCACTTCCCGGGCGCAGGGTCGAGGCGTAGGGCCGGAGATCATCGAGAGCTTCCCGACTTTCCTGTACTCGGCGGTGAAGGGAAGAGGGGCACTGGCATGCGCGGTGTGCTTAAACGAGTACCAGGACGATGAAACGCTGCGTTTAATCCCGAAATGCAGCCACGTCTTCCATCCGGAGTGCATCGACGGCTGGCTGGCGTCTCACCACACGTGCCCAGTGTGCCGGGCGAACCTGTTGGTTCCAGCACAGGGCCAGAGCGAGGCCACGCCTTTGGTAGGCGTAGGGATTCCAGAATCGGAAGAAGAAGAAGAGAACTGTGAAAGTGATCAATGGAGGAGGGAGAATATAAGAGTGAATCGGAGCGGAACGATGAGGGAGAGGGGGGGACCAAGTCGGTCGAGGTCGACGGGAGTGGTAATGGGGATATTGTTCGGGAGGTCACGTTCGACGGGGAGGGAGAGAGTGATGGGGGAGAACTGGGAGAGATACACGCTGAGGCTGGAGGAAGTGAAGACGGCGACAAGGTTGAAACGGACAAAGAGTTGCGTAACGTTCACGAGAATGAGCAGCGGCAGGAAGGGGTATCGAACCAGAAGCGTTGGCAGCACCAGCAACTACTGCGACCGCTCCATCACATCCCGTGCATTATTCCCCGTCAACCCATCCACTGCTTCATCGTCCCTATCATGATGTGCTTTGTACAAGGTATCAACCAGCACTTGGCTGCTTTACCTCAATTCTTTCTTGTTTCCGTCAACGCCCAAAGTCCCCCATCCCTTGATTCCTCATCTATGCTCTCTCTATTTTCTTCTTTCCTCGACTGTTTTCTTCGTTAAAATAATAACAAAGCACGTGATATATTGAGTGTCCAACGTTGATCATGTCAACTTTGTAAGTAAACTCAATAATTTAAGCCAAATCTAATTAACCAATTTGAACTCATTTAAAAAATTTAGGATTAAGTTAGAAAAAATTTTTAATTCTTTATTGTACGGGTCGCTCGAATAGACTTGAGAAAATTTAAATTAAGCCTGATCAAGTTCGGGTTTAGCCTGAATACTCAAATAAAAAATAAATTTTTAAAAAATATATATAATATAATAAATGTTTATTATTTTTTTAAGTTTTATATTATTTTATATCAAAATACTATATATTTAAATGTTTTAATATATTTATTTTTTTAAAAAATTTAAAATAGTTATATTTTATATTTTTATTATTTTTAATCAATAAAATATCTCAAAATAATATTTAAAATATATTTTAATATTTTTGCTTATATTTTAAGACCCAATTTTTTTAAAAAAATTTTAAGTGTTATACATCATTTGCGTATAAAAAATTAATTTTATATTTTTTATAAATTATGATAATTAATTTTAAATTAAAAATAATTTTAAAAATAAAATTTGGGTATATATAAATTTCTAACTCTACTATTAAATAAACATAATAAATAAAATAATATTCTTGAATAATTACTTAGTTATTGTTCATCCTAAAATAGATTAAAAATTAGGAATAAATAGAATACAAATCTCTTATATGTAAGAGTTAAATAATATAAAAATTTAAAGAAAAACGATTCCAAAAAAAATAATATTTTACACATAATTAAATAATTTTACTTTATATAATATAATGATAGCTATTTTTTTATATTTATAAAAATAAAAAGTACAATTTACCTGAAAGATATCAAAAATTTTGAACTAATTGAAACAATAATTGTAAATTGGTAGTCTAATTATGATTAAATTAAGATTAAATTAATCATAATTAAAATAATATAATTTAATTAAAATATATAAATTATTTATATATGATTATGATAAAAGCAATATTTAAACAATTAAGACATTAATTTATAAGTAAAGAAAACATTAAGACATTAATTTATAAATAAAGAAAACATTCATGAACAAATTACATATAATACAACAAAATAACAATAATGTCACTTAAGCATAAAGTTGATAAGTTATTTATTATTTTATTTTTTTAAAATTAAAATAATATTTTATACTTAATAGAATTATTTAAAAATTAAAGTTGTTTTAAAAAATAAAGAAAAATATTTTTAAAAAGTTTGGATATTCGGGTCAGCCCAAAACTGAAGGTGTTAGGGTCGGGTTTGACTATATAAACTTTTTAAAAAGATAAAATATTTTAAATTTAATCTGCATAAATTCAACTCAAATTGAGCTCGATTTATTCAAATTACTGACTTTATTTGCAAGCACGCCCCCTTTTTTAATTACACCAGTATAAAGTGTCCGTGAAAGTACTCTTTTTCCTTCTTCAACTGTTTTGTAATGGCTGCTACAACAACTTGATCATGTACCGAGGGCTTCTAAAACAAGATATTCCACGTGATTTCAGAACTTCTTTGTAGGTGGAGATGCGCGCGATTTCTTGACTCGTGCTTTTTATGTGAATCAGAGGAATGGTACGGAAATAATATATAATTCTTGGAACAAGCTGTCTCGGTTATTAAACAAAAAACTTTGCCAAAATCTTCCGTTTATCGCATTATGTATTGCAGCGTCCAATCAGTGGGCTGAATAACCTTGATGGGTACTTTTCACGCCCATCGCCAAGCGAAACTCTCGCTCAGCCGACCCATTGGAATGGAAATCCCAAAATGGTCTGCCTAGTAACACTGTTTATGTTTTGCAAACAATAAACATCTTTTTGTTTCACTTTGATATGTAAAATTGTAAAAAAATGTGCTTGTCACAAGTTAATTGTTGTGTTTGAATAATAAGATATCAGGCATGTCAGACACATAGAGTTTTAGATGTAAATAAAGGATCCTCGAGCTCATTTAACTCAATTCACTTGACTGTAAAAATATAAAGAAACTAATATAAAAGTGATTAGATTAATAATAGTAGAGTACAAGTAATTACAATTGTGAAAACTACATAAAACCTAAGTCTAATTGTAGAATACAAGGTAAATTGAATTTGAAAAATAAGTCTGAATTTGTTTCTCGTGTAGATTATATTTCCCTTGATTGTGTCAGTCATGCTCTTTTTATAATTGCATGCCTAAGACCACTGTGCCTGAAAAGTCTAAAGCTCATATGTAAAATATTGGTGATTACTAAGCATGGCCCCATGAGATGTATGGTGCATCAAATAATGTTCTCATGTCCACTTAATGTTCTTTCACATCTAGTCATTCTAAGTTTTAAGGGTCATATTTTTAAATACATACTTGGCACGTAACTTCATTTTTAAACAAATTAGGTGTTGTTTGAGTATTGAACTTGTCATTTCAGTTTATCATTGCCTTTGTGATTTTGGGCTGGATGCTTCTTTTTATGTCCAAGCAAGATGCTTTGAAAATCTGTAAATTTCAAGCTATTTGCCCTGTAACCATTTCAAGCTTAATGCGGTTTTCCTTCTCTGAATTTGTGGACGTTTTTTTTTTTTTTTTCCCGGGTGGGGGTGTGGAATATACAATTTAAACAGGGGACGTGAATATGAAAGGCACCTTAGGCCCAAATCCGATAATTCTCCCCTGCAATGGTTTATCAGCAAGTGGGATAAGGTGGACAAAAGCCGTGCGGTGGTTGAGAAGTAAAAAATCTTGATCATCAATTTTTATCTAATGACAAATAAAAAATAAGTATATAAAAAAGTTACTCATTTACAAACACACAATCACATTTTATCTAAAATAAACATTTATAAAAAAATATAATATTTTTAATAAGTCTATTAATAACTAATTTGAACAATATAAATTTTACTTGAAGGTCTATTTTCATATTAATTTTTTATTTTTTATAAATTGACTAATGTACTCTAAATAATTTAGACTTAATTTTAATTTATATTTAAAATTAACTTATATTTTTTTAAAAAAATAATTTTTAGAAAGTACTAGAAATATTATCTTTATTTTTAATATTGTATTTATCAAAATAAAAAATTATAAGGATTATAAATTTTTTTAATATTAATTGTAAACTGTTCAAAATACATTTGTATAGTCAATTTATAAAAAATAAAAAATTAATATTAAAATGAACCATCCAGATAAATTCTATATTGTTCAAATTAGTAATTAACAAACTTTATATTTTTTATAAATTTTTATTTTGGATAAAACGTGATTGCATGTTTGCAAATGAGAAACATTTTTATACACCTATTTTTTACTAGCCATTAGATAAAAATTCATGGTTATAATTTTTTTACCTTCCATTCACGGTTTTCCATTGCACATGATTTGTACTCCCTCTGAATCTATTTATAGAGCAGAGAGAGAATAATTTTATTAATTTTATTTATAAATCATGTTATTAAATTTTTATCACAAAATTTTTTTTACTTTTTATTGAATGTTAGAGAGAGAAAATATATTATTGAAATATGTATATTTAATAGGAGTAAAGTTAATAACTTTATTAAATTTTAAGACAGAGTTAATGAATTTTAAAAATTTTCTTAATTTCTTAATATTGATGAAATATATTAAAAATAATTTATAAATAAGATCAAAAAAGTATATGAAATTAGGCAAGTAATTGAATTGCCATACACTGCCGCTGCAAGTAATCAGTGAATGCGCTTTGTGGACTTTGAAGAGCAGCAAGAAGGTTACGCGAGTTAGGTATGTGGATTAATTAATCACTTAATGACATAGTAAATTTTTCAGTCCAAAATCATGACAATTTTAAATATTTCATGAGAATTTTTAAAAATAATCTGTATCGTTAAATATAAAATACTATCATCATTTTACAATATTATCTGTCAGTTAAAATAATTTATTTTAATTTTCTTTAAATTATTTATTATATAGTTGCTCCCTAAAATACAATACCACTACCTCTATCCTAAACTATAAGACAATTTAAAACAAAATAACTCATATTAATAAAATTCAATAATGATATTTTACAAACTTACTTTTTAAAATAGAAATAAAAATAAAAATATTTAAAAATATCTTTCATTTAATATAACTTTAAATATATAATTATTTTAATTTTTTCTATTTGATGAGTAATAATATTTAAAAAGTATCACTAATAAAATTTTATTTTTATTAAATTATCTTATATTTTAAGATAATAAAATATTTTGAATGCTATCCTTTAATTTTGGACTGGGAAAGTACATTTTATGCTATTGACCTTTTGTAAAGTCGTGCATTCTGGATCTAAACATTAAGCAAAAAAATATATTTTATATTTTACAACTGATGCAATGCCCCATTTAATTACTTGCAGAAAAAACAACGTAAAGATTTTAAAGAAAGAATGCTAGAGTCAACAGCGGAGACTAGCACTCTTAGAGATGCACAAATCGTACTCTGTTTCTTCCCCCCGGTTAGCTATGGGGTGGACTTGGTAATTGCTATTTGGGTGCGGACGTTAACCAATTAAGATAAGTGCTAGCGAAGTGAAGAGTTACCGGTGAGAAGACTAGAACACCACAGATGAATTTGTTGAATGAACTGGCGGGAAATATATTAAAAAAAGAAAGAAAGAAAGAAAGAATAAGAACTCAAATTATTGTTTGGTGTGTTGAGGAACGGTGTAAACTCAGATTAGTTGAGCGGCACTGGTGGTTCACTGAATTGCCATGAATTTCAATTCATCGAGCCTAGAATTCAATCGTGAACCTTCCTTCGCGTGACTGGAATCTGCTGTGTGTTTTCCACGAGACTAGGTTCTCCTTATCATTTTTTTAAGAACGCTTGGCTTAGACGGTGACGGAAAATGACGGGCGAACTTTTTTCTTCCCGTTAACACTAAAAACTAATGACGTGCAATCACCTTTTCTAACAATTCGCCGATTTTCAATGGCTTATTTAATATTTTATTTGCTTGAGATTGACCCTTGCTTTTAATTTATTTTCTGCAGTCAATAGATATGAAATTTGTGAAGTCTTAGGTCCACCGGCTAAGCAGGCTGTAGCTAATAAGCTTGACATTTTCTAATCCATTGCATTGGGTTTGGGTAATTAATTAACAGCGAATAAAACAATAACATGCTGCCAACTAGTGAGAAGACATACGTCATAGTAAATGCGTTATGTAGACTGAAACATTTTCGCGGGGTTCCTGGTTGTGAGATCAGTAAGATCATTCCACATCTGCTGATAAAACAACAGGGGAGGAGGTCGTAAAGAAGGAAGCAGAAGAAGCATCCTGGTATGAATGTTCCATTTTGAAAGATGAGACCGAGATTGGACCAAGTAATCTAGGGGAAGCGCGTGAAGTAACTCCAAGCATTGAATTCTCGAAGCGATCGCCTGTATGAAACATGCCAATGTTACCAAGGAAGCAAGCAAGTGAATCGCACACAGGGACAAATGCACGATCTGAAGGCCCAAACTGGAGGGACCAGAACACCCTAATAAATTGCATCCCAAATCGCACGTGTTTTCCACAGGCCACGACACACACAATCTCGTGAGGACGCCAATGGCTCTAATGCAAATAAACATCAGATAACGTGGATTATTGGGAAAATTCTCCTCATCAAGCTTCTCAAAAGTCAACATCCGAAACCCTACATTCCACCAATGCTAGGATATCGCATCCAACAACCCCGGCCTCGATCGGTCTTGAAAATTTTCAAGAAATTTACGATAATAGGCATAGAAATATCAATCGCCCGACGTTGAGCTAGGCAAGTTATTCTTCTGTTCAGAAGAAGTTAAAAGAAAAACGGTCCCTAAAAAGATCCCCTCCATTTCATGCCGTGCTCAATTTTTTATATCTTCCCTCCGGCAAGCTCAACCAAAAGCATGCCGTGTTATATTTAAAGGTCCGGCCTTTAAGTTTTGCTTGGCTTTCCAGTAACAACAACATCATTCCCATTCTGAGCAAACCAGCACAAAAGAGGAAAACAAGGGTGGGGACAGCCATCATGTGTCGCAATTGGAGGAAATTTCTTTGCTCGCTATGGCTAAACACCTCAACCTGATGATCAGCCATGACAATCCACTGGGACACTCGCCCTCCTCCCGTTCTCCTCCTCCCACTCTCCGCTTTCGATCGCCACCATGGTCTCCGCTGCCTTGCCCTGCTTTTGCTTGCCTTCCCGGCCACCGCGCAGTTCCCCGCCTCGCCTCCGCCCCCGCCCGCCGACCCTTTTGCCAGGCTTAAGTTCGACAAGAACATGGCCATCATCATGGTCATCCTGGTCCTCGTGTTCTTCTTATTGGGCTTTCTTTCCATCTACACTCGCCAATGCGCAGAGCGCCGGATGAGGGGAAGACTCGATCTTGCACTCCCGATCAGCATCAGCAGCCGGCGACCGCGAGGTCTTGACCCTGAGATCATCGACAGTTTTCCCACTTTCGTCTACTCCTCCGTCAAAGGGCTTAAGATGGGGAGAACCTCACTGGAATGTGCCGTCTGTCTGAACGAGTTCGAAGACGACGAAACTCTGCGTTTGATCCCCAAATGCAGCCACGTGTTTCATCCCGATTGTATCGATCTCTGGTTGTCTTCCCACTCCACCTGCCCCCTCTGCCGGGCCAACCTCGTTCCAAAACCCGGTGATGCGTCCTTCGTCGCCATTCAGATCCCCAATCCGGCCGTCGACAACACCCAGTCCAATTCGAGCTCCGCACCCCGTGAGGGACCCCAGGACAACATAAACACGGTGGCACCGGAGTCTCCGATTCTGAGCCGATATCACACCGTGAGCCGGGGTTGGACACCTAGGTCAAAGTCAACGGGCTTTCGTGTGGCCGGGTTATTGCCGCGTTCTCATTCCACGGGTCATTCCTTGCAGCTTCAACCCGGGGAGAACTGGGAGAGGTTTACTCTGAGATTACCAGAGGATGCCCGTAAACAGTTATTAAACCGCACAAATAGCTGCGTAGCGTTTACAAGAGAGAGCAGTCAGAGGAGGGGTTATAGGACAAGAAGCGTGGGGAGCGGATGGGCCAAGAACTATTTGCAGTACGAGCGATTCGGTGGCGAGGGGCGGTCGGAGCATTGGGCGTTCACTTCGAGGCCGCCGTTTCTGAGCAGGACTAGTTCGACGGCGGCCGACAAGGCACCGGTGGGTCCATCGGGGGTGGGTTTGGACGACATCGGGGAACTATCTTCTGATCCACTGTTCCCGGGGAACAAAGATTAGATCATAGGAGAGGTAGCTTAGTTTTTCATTTCACAAAGGAAAGGTTCCATGTTCATAGCATGACAACACTTTTTGTTTGCCCCATATATTTCTCCCACGTATTTATATTTGTTTTTAGTTCGTTTCAGGTTTCATTTTCGGAAAATGGAACCCCAATGAACTGGAGGTGCGATTTGAGAATTCCAGAACATGATTTTGTAAAATATAAAATTACAAGTTTGTCGCAATTTTCATGATTTCATTACATATCTGTACTCATTTTCAATATCAATATAAAAACGAACGCATCCCTAAAATTCGTCAAAACCATAAGCGAGTCTTGGCTCAACGAGTCAAGATAATTCTGCCACTCCCTGCAGTCCTGAGCTGCTGATTGTTTTCGTGAGACTGCTGGAAATAAGATAGTTTGGCTATTGGCTAGAAAGTTTCTGCAACACCCTTCTCCTTTCATGTTTGCAAGTGACATCCGACCAAATAGACAATCTCAAGTATGATGTATGGGAACAGGTATAGCAGCCTTTGAAATCAGACTGAATGACGTAATATTTTGAATTTAAATGGAGAAGATGCTTGTTTATGTCGGAGGGGTAGGATTTGTCATAAATCTAATTATAAGGAGGAAGAGAAGTAATTAATGGCACAAATGATGATTAATGAGTTAATTGATATAAAGCGAAGCACACCTGTGCGGTTGATGATGGCATGCAATTAATGGAAAACCGCAAAAGGAGAAAAATCACGAGTCATCAAAGGATGGGTCATAGCAAATTAATTAGCACGGCTTTTACCTTTCGGCCAAACTTAAACATAATAAAGATGAGGAGCAATGGGGCATGACTTTAATCTGTCTCCTTAGGGGAGAGGATAACGGACAACCATTTTATTTATGGAGTTTGGCAAAAATAAATTCGTTCGTTCTCAACTATTAATACGTTTGATATGATTTTTTTTTTTTTGGGGTCAAAATATCTTTCATGCGGTTAATTAGCTGCAAGGTCTTCGTGATTTTGTTATTCATAAATAACAAAATCAGGCATTTCAAGTCATTCTCCCTGCTTCTTACGGCCCCACTTCAAAATTGACTTGGTAATGTACTGGGGTCGCTGTCTGCAGAATGGTGGAGATGCTGGTTTGGAGTACATCAAGCAGGGATAATGTCAAGATATCTGCTCCCAAAAATTCCTTCCAGCGGCGCAAGACAATTCTCCCACTTATATATTTGTGATGGTCGATGACCCCTTCTGATCCAATGACCATACGGGCTCCACCCTGAAAGCTAATGCGCTCTCGCAACTTTCTTTTTTCGTTAATCCAGGACATCTTCTGGACAACATCAAACCCCCATGCATCGTGCTGTTGCTGTTGGTGGCACTGCTGGGCAAGTTATGTGGCTTAACTCTGATGCTATTCATCTCCGCAACGAATACCACGCCTTGGTGCTTGCATTATGATCTTGAGCCATCAACCCTCACAGTCACAAGGAGTGGTTCCGCAGGGTCATCGTACTCTCTCTCTCTGTTGTAATTATATAGGGCCCCGCTCTACGAGTTGTGAGGACACCACAGTGGCATGTTGTAGCGGTAGCGCCGATCAAGATCCACTCTTTTGCCAAACCCGAACCATGAAGGATGCTTACTATGAAGGAGCTAGTTGAATCCAATCATCTGAACTCTTTTCCTTCCTAGTATGTGCACCTTCAATTTCCAGAAGATTCCAAACACTGGATATCTGACATTAATATTCCCACGATTGACTTTTCCAAACTTACCTCTCGCGATCCCACAGAACTCTCCAGAGCAACCCAGCAACTTGGAGATGCTTGTCGCCAATGGGGATTCTTTCTGGTATGCTCTCCACCTTTTTCTTCTTCATGTTCATCAGGAGTTCCATACAAGGGAAAACTTCATGTACGTTCTTTATTACTTCTTTTCTATGCGGTAACTAATAGTTGGGCTGGTCCAAGTGTTGCTGATAAACCACGGAATGTCAGAGACGTTGAGGGATCGGGTGATTAGAGGATGCGAAAGCTTCTTTAATCTGACAGAGGAAGAAAAGAAGGAATTCCATGGAATGGATTTATTGGATCCCATAAGATACGGGACAAGCTTCAATCCGAGCGTTGAAAACTCTCTTCTCTGGAGAGATTATCTCAAACTCCAGGTTCATCCTCACTTCCACGCTCCTACTAGGCCTCCTGGTCTCAGGTATCACGCCTTCTCTTCACCTTCACCTTCTTTAGACTGACAACTTTGACTTATCATTTATATTCTCATCTAACGCGTACCACCAAAATATTTTAAGAAACACGTAATAAATTGTTATAATTTCAAATAAAATTTCACCCATTATGAATACGCTTATTGGTTATCAAGCCACTACATCAATCAAAATTATTCCTGAACTGAAACAGGGTAAATGACGTAAATTTGAATATATATCGAAGAGCATAGAAATGAAACTGAAAAAGATAATGAGTAGCAGGAGGTGATGATGAGCTTGCTCTCCTTGAAAATATGAAAATAAAATAGCAGCTGCTAACAAGAATGTGGATGTGTTTAAATGGTAAAACGTTTGCAGCGATATTATAAAAGAATTCTGCCAAAAAAGTAGGGAAGTGACAGGGGAGTTGCTGAAAGGAATAAGCAGAAGCTTGGGGCTGGAAGAGAACTAAATACACGGGAAGATGAATGTAAGGGTGGGGACCCAAGTGTTTGTCATAAACTACTACCCACCATGTCCCAGCCCGGAGCTAGCAATGGGACTCCCTGAGCACACAGATCACGGGCTTCTGACTCTCCTGCTGCAAAATGACCTAGATGGGCTCCAAATCCGTCACGATGGCAAGTGGGTTCAAGTAAAACCGCCGCCCAAGTCCTTGATGATCATCATCGGCGATCACATGGAGGTACAATTTTGTTTTAGTTAGCATTGTGGATAGTTGAGATTGGTGGAATGTAAACCAAGATGTTTTTGTGGTCAGATATTGACAAACGGCAGATACAAGAGCGTTTTGCATCGAGCAGTAGTGAATAAGAAAGCAGCTAGAATCTCCACAGGGATTGCACATGGGCCTGCCCGAGACACTATGGTGGCGCCTTCTTCTGACCTCGTTACGGAGGCTCATCCCTCTGCTTATCAGGGCATGACATACCGCCATGACTTGCTGCTTCAGCAAAGCAATCCACTCAACGCCAGATCTTGCTTGGATCGCATCCGTATTTGATCTTATCTACTTGTAATCCTCCTTTTGCTTTTTAGTCATGTTATGCATTTCTGCTTCAGTTCTCGAGTCTGTCTCTTGTCCTGTGTGAGCTCAATATAGCCAGGCTCCACAAAATAAGTGGTCCTTGTCGTGGATTCTGGCTCCCTTGTTTCTTCCCATGCCTGCTTCTGCTTTGTCCATAAAGATGCCATTATATTATGTATTAGTATCATATAATATTGCTCCCCTTTTATGTGTTTATCCATTGCTTATTGGCGGTTTTCTTTTTTCAATAATAAAGGGCAAGCAGGGCTTGATTACGAAGAGAAGAAGAAGAGAAAAAAGAAAGAAAAGCAAAAATAATAGGGAGAAAAATTCAGTTTTTTCTTGCCTTTAAACAGCCTCCCAGTCAGGAATAACATAATCAAAATAGAAGGAGGTTGCGGTGCAGAGCTGGTAAGCACTCCTGGCCTTTAGGTCGGCACGAGTGATTGCCTTTCTGTGAGAATGACGCATCTCAAAACCAGTTACCTTTGACATACTGTAGAGCGTATCCTGTATGAAGTCCCAAAGAGGGTGACCTAGGTGACCATCACGAAACAAAAGATTCAGAGCTTAGGATCACATGTTTTGTTTCGATACACTTGCATAAGTATGTGACTTGTGGGTGTTTTGACTTAAAGAGAATGTAATTATAATGAAATTGTTGTAAGGGACCATGACACTATTGCAAGTGAAGTTATTGTAATGTTTGTGTGATTGAATGGTCAAGAGATTGTCATATGTGGTTTATTGCCACCCCTTGTTATTTTGCAATTAGAGTTTTAATAGCCAAATCATGTTTGAATTATATGTGATGATATATGACCATTCAATTAAGTGTTTTGTGATTTAATTGAGTTGGTTCAAGTGCTCTTAGAGTTATTAGTGCTTAGTTAGTAAGTTTAGTCACCCTTATGTTTGTTTTGAAAGAAAAATGAATAATTTTATGTTTAAGTGTCAACTTTTAAATGGTAAAATGTTTAGTTATAAAACCAATGCCAATAGTTATGCGACGGATAATGCATTTTGGAGATTGTCTAAAATGCCATTTTTGATGCTTGAAAAGATTGATAATTGTTTCTATGCTTTTGTTAATGTGTTAAACATACTTTAAACTATGGTTTAAGTTCAAACATCATTTTAAAAAATTTTTTTTTGAGATCCCAACTTTTAAACTAATTTTTTTTAAACTTTTGTATTATGATAACCTAATACAAGAAATTAATTAAAATAAAAAATTAATTAACATTAGTTATTATAACGGTGTGTGTATTTGTGTATTGTGTCTTGATAATGTCAAGACGAATATTATAGTAATATCTTAAATACATGTTTAAAACTTTTATTACCATGATAAGGTTGTCTCAATGTTAGAATTGATTGGGAGAGCGTTAAACCTAAGCCTCTATTCAACTTGTTATTAGTTATTTGATCCCCAGCAAGAAGGTGAATCTTTCTTGATCTTGTGTGTTCATTCCACAAAACTGCATATCTTCTCAACGTCTTGAATAACACCTTTTGGCAGGAGCAAGGTTCATGTAAGGTGACTTGGCATAGCACTAAGGACAGACTTCACCAAGACAAATCTATCTGCCATGTTAAGATGCTTAATTACTCTCCCACCAAGATAACTTGAAATGAATTATGAGGGTAAAACAAGGATTTGTTGAGATTACTATCAATGAAAGGGACACCAAGGTATTTATCAAGATTGGCAGTCAAACCAATAGTGAGAGCTTGACTGGATTTAAGGCTACGGTTGAAATTGATGCTCAAGGAGCAAAAAATCTTAGATTTTTGCAGGTTAACTCAATGACTAATGGCTGTCCAAAAATCTATCACAACAACATTTATGAGATGAACTTGTTACATGGATGCTACTGCAAAAGGGAAGAGATTGTCAGCAAAAAGCAAGTGGGAAAGATAAGGACCTCAAGATGTAAATTTTAGAGGTTTCCATCTTTGATTATCCACAAACGAGTAATCTAGCTACCAAGTCTCTCCATGCAAAGTATAAAGATGTAGGGACTAAGGAGATCATCTTGTCTCACACCTCTAGAAGGACGACTGAAAGAGAGAGTTTCTTCACCATTCCACATCACTTTTAAGGTAGCCGTGGTTATTGAACATGTGATGAGGTTGATGAAGTCTGCTTGAAAGCCAATACTGTGCAGAATTTCTTTGATAAAATCCCAACCTAGACGGTCAAAAGTCTTTTCAAGATTAATTTTTAAAGTTATGTAACCTTGTTTGGTTTTCGTTGTTTTCATAGTGTGGATAGCTTCTTGCGCTAAAAAATGACATTACCATTGCTTTGTCTGCCAAAGATAAAACTACATTGGTGAGGAGCAAGGAGTTTACTCAGATGATCATGAAGCCTATTAGCCAGTACCTTAGTGATGATTTTCAAGCTCACATTATAAAGTGAGATCTGTCTAAAGTTCTTGAGAGAGGTTCGATGATAAATTACCTATAAGAGGACAATATTGGCATGATTGGAATTGGACATTTTGGTTTGGTAGCAAAGACTTCTATCTCCAAATTGCATATATGATCTCCAATAAGATTCCATTGAGTATAAAAAAAAGTTGTGGTTGTAATCCATCAGGTAAGGAAGCTGCATTTTTAATCTCAATTTCATTGACTTGATGCAAAATAATACTTAAAGATTTCATACTTTGTATAATTTCATTGATTTGATCAATCCCCTCGTGATGCTTAAGAATACATTTCTTTTTAGCAGAGAGATTACCAAAGGTTTGGGAACTATAATGGGTAGCTTCGGTTGTGAAGGACTGCAGGCCATTGAACCAATCTACGTTTAACCAGGATTTTTTTCACAATAGAATTAAAACTATCCTCAACCAACCAAGATGCATTGTAATGAAAGTGCTTGGTCGAGGGACGATTGGGTTGTGGGCCAGTGTTAGAGATCATAATAACCATGTGATCAAACTTATATTTGACAAAACGTAACCCAACTAGTTTCAATGAATAATCCTCCACCTCACACTTAATTTGAATTCTGACGACGACAGAAGATCTTTGTGCGAGTGAAAAACTCTCCTCTCAGTTAGTACGGAGTAACTGTGCTGATGTAGTTTATCTACAATCTAAATCTAGATCCTTTTTAATCGTAAGAAAATTATACACAGGGATCACAAAAATGGAGCAAAAAGAATATGAATACGAGAACAGGAAATGAATTCATAGAGTCTCAATTAATTTTTCCGAAGGTATGCTTGCATAATTATAAAAATAATAATGTAATCCTATTTATCCTAACTTACAACAAAAGTGGATTTTAACCCCATACAATACAAGAGAACACTCAATCATACAAGAGTAATATAAATAAACTCAATAAATTCTAAAATTAAATGAAAATTAAACTAATTCAAGTACATACGATGATAGATTTCATGATTAGCTTCATTTTTGGAATTACTATGTTTCACATGCAAAGCTTAGCTTAAAAACAATGATATTTTATTTAAATGGAAACCAAATTTTCAATAATTCAATATTAATTTGGTTACAAGCTAATATTTTGATACATTTTATATAAAGAATTATATATATATATATATATATATTCTTGAACAATTCTTTTTAAATGAAGTTCATTTTTGTCAAAAATAAAAGATAAAAAAATACGTGGGCTAAATAAGGTGGAGGAGAATCTACAAATGCTAATTTAATCTTTCTTTGGGAGCAGCATAGTGCAAACACATGATTTGTGTAACTTGATCATCCTTGACTCGTTTATTAAACCTTATTCTTGCTTCACAATATTCACCAATTTATAAAGGGCATCCTTCATTTAAGTATACCATATAAGTGAAAAAGAAAATTATAACTTCACATAAAGTTCAATAGAAGATTTTTCTTAAAACTGTAATAGAAGATTTGTTGATCCACTTACTCCAAATGTGTACACATATGATCGTAATGTTATACATTTAATTGAACTTGTTTGGTAGTAGCTTCATAAATTGAATTTTAAAATTAAGTCACTACTCCATACTTAATCTTTGAACTTATCTTTTTTCAAATGCCCTACATAGCCGTACAAATATTGAAGAAGTTATGTAACCCATATCAAATAATGCAAAGACTTAAAAAAGTGTCATAGGAACATAAAAGGGAAAGAGAAATGGACAAAGACATCAATTTTTTGTTTGTTTGTTAAATGATGAATTTATGAAAATAATTAAAAAACTATGTTTATTGGAGTTCTAGACCACTGAAAGAATTACCCATGAAAAGAAAAATCCATTAGTGCAAAACACAGTGAACACTTCATTTACAAACTTTGGTACATATATCTCCTCAATTTATCATGAAGACCATTATTATTCAAAAAGAAATAAAGGAAGAAACGTAGGCATAAATGAGGAAAAGGCACAAGGGAAACAAAAAAACATTCTAAAGAGAGCAGAGACATGGAAAAATGGAGAGGGAAGCTCAAATGATGTGGGACTAATATTGTGTTTGGAAATTGAAGGGCAATGTTGAAAATTTACTGTGAAAAGAGCGGTGAAAATTATACACTTGAGAAAAGATAAAACTGGAATAACAAATGTTACTTTTAAAAATGACAAAGCACATATGGAAATTCACTATAAAAGAAACAGTGCAAATAATGTAATTTTTTTTGCTGCCAAAAAGGAGCCAATTTCATTAATATCAAAAAATGAAATAAAAACACTAATAGTCGAAGCCAAAAAAAAAACACTCAAAAAACCTATAAATATAAAATAACACACCAAACTCACCAAAAAAAAATCAAAAAACAAAACAAACAAACAAACAGCTTTAGAGAACTATAATTAACCAATGCCAACTTTACTAAAACCAGTAAAAAAGACATCACAAACTGGAGAACCAGCAAGAGCTGCATCAGATATCAAAATATCATTTAGGAAGGATGGTGCTGAAATCAGGCATCCATTGGGAGACATCCCTTTTTTTCCACAAACTACCAACAAGTCAGCAACACCGTTACTTTGCCGAACCACCAAGGCAAAAGCCACATTAGGTCTTGCATCAGCTAAAGAGAAAATTTCAGTCACATCTCTATACTGCCATTCTATACTAGCTTCAGAGCGACCAAAATCAGCCTGTACAGTCTCTCACAGTCAATCTAAGTGCAAATATTGACCCCAGGGAATCTGTCACAGCCCAATAATGCATATTTAACTGCCATGCATTCAGCTTCAAAGGCAGACCTTGCAAAAAACTTCAACCCTGCACCACCTAAAAATATACCACCACTATCTCAACAAACAATACTTGCACCTGCAAACTGTTCAATAATAATACGCGTAATTAATTCTTCTACATAGATTACATGTAATCAATCCTTATCTATAAGAAAAATTCATATGCATAACATAAAATTGAAAGACAAAATAATTCCAATAAAACAACACACTTCTGAAATGGTCAGCAAAGTCGATAATTTCCTCAGTTCTAACTCCTCGCGCACAGTAGACTTTCATTAAGAAATTAAGAAAATATGACAAAAAAATAAACACCACAACAGGTGCTTTCTCTCGTGTGCAAACGAAACGATGCTACGCGTTTGAAGGCTGACAAATCTAGGAAGACTAAAAAACCCATCCAAACTCGTCGATTGCAATTTCAATTCATGAATATTGATGGCATATTCCTATTCAATTATCAAATATTAATCATTAAAATCTCTAGTATTTATTGAGATATTTAGGGTCGTGCTCAGGCAAATGGGTTTAACTTTTATTTTACTTCTCAGAGGGGATTTGGGTCCCTGACTCTAGTTTGCATCCATAAAAGAACAGTGTGACAATGAACCAAACCCACCGTCTTATATATATATATATATATATATATATCCTTTGATTTTTCATCGTTCGCTCTCCCTAGAATTCTCCCTTCCTTCTCCTTGTCTCTTTCAAATGGCTCCGGACAAGAAACTGAGAAATCTCATTTACAATCTCAGAGACAAAGCCTCCATAGTTGCAGCAACTCTATCGCTCAGACGCCACGTGTCCTCTGTTCGCCTCCACGTTGTCCGCGCCACCAATCACAGCATCTCAACTCCTGCGTCGGAGGACCGAATCGCTGACGTCCTCTCCGTCGGTAAAGGCTCTCATCTTCTGCCATGTGTCTGCATGGATGTTCTGATGGACCGACTTCACGAGACGCGAGATGCCACGGTTGCCCTGAAATGCCTTTTCACGATGCACAACGTCATAATCAAGGGACCCCTCTCTCTGAGGGATCAGCTCTCCTATTACCCTTCCTCCGGCGGACACAATTTCCTCAACTTATCCAACTTTCGTGACGATTCAGGATGGGGTCATTGGAATTAGCATCGTGGGTTCGATGGTATGCAGGCGTTTTGGAGCAGTCTAACAGTATCGAGGGTTTTGGTTTATTATCTGACAAGCGGCGATAACAAGGATCAAAAGAATGGGGTGCAGGAGAGAAAGCATCTTGGGGGGTCAAATTCAGATTTGTTGTGTAAAATTGGAAGTCTCGTGGGATTCGTAGAGCAGACGGCAAAAGTGCCCGAGTCGTTATACCTTCAAAAGAACGAATTGGTGTACGAAGTGGTGAGGCTGGTGGGCGAAGATTACAGAAGTGTCCAATCCGAAATGTCCTTTCAGGTGGATGAAATTGGGAAAAGGATGGAAATTTTGGATGTGGGGGAATTGGGCGAGCTGATGGGTTATCTGGAGAGAAAAGAACAGGGCAGAAGAAAATTGGCGCTTTTGTTTGTGGATAGAAAAAGAAACGATGCGTTTTGGGATTTGATTAACCAGACGAGAACAGAGATGGGGATGAAGAAGCGGGAGGTCGAGGGAAAGTGGCTAAAGGGGGAACCCGACCCGTTTCTTGAACCGGGCCAACGGATAGCGATTCCAGCGGGCGGAGGATGGGCCGGTAAGATCAGGAACGGCGTTCTTTAACGGTTCCAACGGTGGGATAACAATTTTTTTTTTTTGGGTTTTTGGGTCATTAAAGCAGAATAGTTGACAGGCGTGTTCGTTCTTTCTTCATGGTTACCGGATATTCCAGACATTTTTACTTTTGGTTCCAAATGGTGTGCTATGCCGGCTTGTTCAGTCGCTTTGTAAATGTTTCATACTTGAGATCTTTGATTTTTGTTGACCTTCTACCTATCTTGATGTTTCTATTCTTTGTACGAATACAAAAGCTTTCAGTTCCAGAGACGGCTCCGCGTGCCGGGTTGAAATAAACTAAATTTTTGGTCCTAGTGGTGGTTGGTGGCCGATATGGGAACCACCCATGTGATGTTTTAGTCGCAAGGACCTATTCTTTCAATTTTTTTTGTACATCGCTGTCTGTTGTTGAATAGGGTCAATACCAATTTCATCCCTGGCCACATCATTTACAAATTACAGAGTCCGCATCGTTTCGCGATTCCGTGAACATGTGCATTTTTTAGTTTTCAACCGAGTTGACGAGGATCGGCCCAAAAGAAAATTGAGTTGATGATGGCTTATCCTGTTGCAGGCTTCAGGACAGCAAAAGAAAAGGACAGCCTCTGGTTGTAGCTAGAAAGATAAATAGCCAGGGATGGGAGATGAATCTTGATGAGAATAAAAAGAAAGAAGAAAACAATTTGCAGTATCGTGTAATCTTGTTCCTTCTGGAATACTTGTATGTGGAAGAATTATGAAGAGCTAGAATAAGAGTGGAGAACGTTTAGGTTTGACAACAATTGCAGAGCCGCCTGGAAGGTGAGGAGCAGGAAGTGAAGCCATGCTGAGTGGGGGGAGTCCCAGGGTTCCTTTTACGGTCGTGGTGAATGGGAGGACTCTGTTGAATCGCCGGTGTTATTAGGATTAGGAGTGGACCACTTGTTCACTCGGGAGCGGGCTATCTTGGCCTGCAATTTCCCAAAATTAAAATCAAATTAATGTAATGAAAGCCTCTCAGTTGTTGTCATATTTTTGCAACACCAATATTTAAAAAATTGTCCTGAGTGTGCACGCACCTCATTGTCCCAATCACGTCTTGCTGTTATGAAGAGCAGCACGAGCGTCTGAATTCCCGTGCCACCGAATATCATTCCCCCCCAAATGCCCTGCCACACAATCACCATTCTCCCATCAGTACATTACGAATTTACAATCAGGGTCTCACAGTCAGTGACTCAGTGTAGTCATATTTCTATTTTTTACACACACCTCGACGCCAAGCTTGAAAACCCATCCCATGAGAAATCCGAGAGGGAGCCCAATAATGTAGTAGCATCCTAAATTAATATATGCTACTGATGCTTGCCATCCCGAGCCCACTGCCACTCCTGCATTTTGCCATATCATAATGATGATCAGCAGAGTGTGTGGGTGTGTTTCATCTAAACATATTTGGTTGCTTGCGTTAAATATTTTGACCTGACAATACTGGCTGAACACTGTTGAGGAGTATGGTGACGGCTAAGAGGAAGGCCATGCCATTGACGGCTTCGAGTACATCTGAACTGGACGTGAATATGTACGCCAGCTGTTCGCGAAATCCCATCACTACTGCGCAAAAGAACAGCCCGATCACCGTTGACTCTGCGACTGATACTTGAGTCGCAAATTTTGCTGCTTTCCCGTTCCCAGCTCCGAGCTCGTTCGCCACCCTCACCCTATTGTGTCAACATCCATCCATCATTTGAAATTAAATTACTCCCCGAGCAAATCTACGGACCAACCTTTGCATAGTCAAACGGGCAAGTAACCGATATGACTCTTGAGGTTTTTTTTTTTTTTTGGCCAAAATATGACTCTTGAGGTTGAGTGCATCTTTTTTTCTCCTATATATCTATTGTCATTTAGCTAAAGACCAACAGGGGAGGGACATGCCGGACCAGGGCCTCTCCTTGGACTTGCCACAGAGCCATATCATTGGAAAGATTAAAATCCGTATTACCGTACAATCAATGCAACTTTACAGTTGTCTTGCGAATGAAAAGCACAGGGAATGACCGAAAGAAAAATAAGGGCAAGAGGAGGGATTAAAAACAGTACCCGGTGCCGGCGAAGAATGCCAGAGGAATCATCATTTCCCACCCGTTTATAGTCATACTGCATGCATAATTTTTTTTAAAAAAAAAAACCGTTAGGATCTTACTCGTGTTTTAATAGTTGCAGGGATGAAACACATGCATAAGAGGCCACAACTCACGAATTTAAAACTCACCATATTGACAGCGCATCCACCGCGACTGTGGCATTCTTCAAATGCCCCGTCATGAGTATCAGTATCCTATAGTACCAGTTCTCTAAACTGCGTTCATCACCCTCTCAGTTAATTCACTTAAACACACTCAACCTCAAAGGGTATTAATCAAGAGAGAGAAAGGTAGCAGACCATAGCATGACCCCGGAAGCAGCAGAGAGCTTGAGAAATTCCAAGAGCCCTGAGAAGGCTTCCATCGAGAGTCCCGTCCAAGTCAAAGGGCATCCACCGCAAGCCACATACGCATACATGCCGAACACCAGTACCCACCACGAGATGTCCAGAGAAATGGCCGCACCCACCACTCCAACATCCCAGACGTATACCAGCAGCCAGCTGACGAGCACGTTGACCACCAGACCCGCCAATGAAACCCAAGCGATGACATAGGTCTTGAGCTGGCACTGTAGGAACCTCTGGAGCGGGAACTGGAAGGCAAAACTGAAGTGCAGGGGTATTAGCCACAGAGCCACCACCCCGGACTCCGCCGCCACGTCATCTGGCTGTCCCAACAATTTCAGGATGGGAGACGCAAACACGTACAGCGGCAACAGCAAGAAGCAGCACATAAACAGAACTATCCAAGACCTCTGCATATATATCCCCAACATGTGGTATCTCTTTGCCCCGAACGCCTGCCCGCACAGTGTCTCCAATGCGCTTGCCATCCCCAGCTAAATAATAAAAATATATATTCAACAAGTAGAATATATATATTCATTCAATTCATGACAACAATAATGAGAAATTGAAAGAGTGAGTCTCTCGCGATTGATTAATTAATTAAGCATACGAGGAGGCCGAAGTTGAAGCCGACGATGACAGTGTTGGCAATAGAAATGGAAGCGAGCTGAACATCACCGAGGTGACCGGCGAAGGCTTGGGTGACGACGTTCATGGTGAACGACGCCACGCGGCTGAAGATGGAGGGACCCACGATCAGCCATAGCTTCTTGGACTCGATCCAAACCTTGGTTGCAAGTTGATTTTGCTGAACGGGGGACCCATCCTCGGGCGAAGACTCTGGCAACAGAGGCTGCCTGAGGCTGTCATTCTTTTCTTCGGCGTCTCTGTTAACGCTCCTCATCATCGGAACGCAAGACGTGCTTATCCGTACTACCAGCCTGCGCGCTGCGCCGAGCTAGAATGTCGGATAGGCGCGGCACGTTTCTTGTTCATTTTATATAGACGCCGCCAACAGTGCCCTCAGAGTTTCGAAGCCTTGAACCTTCTCAACTACTGGCCGAAAGGGGGAAATAGTCAAAAAGTACAAAACCTTCTCAAATTCCAGAAAGTGCTTGCTGGCGAGAAAAATTCCAAATTTGCTTCTCCAAACGGAGGTTGCACTTGCAGCCTGATTTCGAACTCCACTCTTTTTTATAATATACTATCTATATCAAGTAACTTTTCCTTTTTTTTATCGTTTTATTATGCATTTGACTTTTTATCAATTCATACCAACACCCACAGAGAAACACATGTTTCGAATTATAAAACATGCTATTCAATTTAATTTTTTAGTTTCGGTAGGATGGTATGGTAATTATGTCTACTTTAAACTCTGTACAATGCCCTGGCAGAAAAAATTCATGCAGCGTCCCTAATTTTTCTTATGTTTTGAACGTACTAGAACGGGAACCCGGTGTTATATAATTATGTATTGATTTAAAAAATATTTTAAGAAATAATGTATGCAATAACCAATGTTTCTTAAGGTAATATTCATGAGTGTAAATAGAATTAGCATAGCAAATGTATTAGAATGAATAATATTATTTTAATATTATATATACATGATTATGCAACTATTTACAGGAGAAATTTTACGGATAATTTTAACAGACACGTGTTGAAATTTAAAGTTGTTGAATAAATAACGAATGGGGTGAGACCCGAACCAAGTGCAGTGCATGAAAGAGGGAAAGATTGTGGTCCTGATGTAGCAAACTAAGAATGGTTGGTGCGGAAGAGCAAGTGAATGAAGCAGACTGTTGAATTGTATGGTTTTTGGTATCTATCCGATTAGTTTAGTGTGGGGTAGGGAGATAGTATCTGCCTCTCCACAGCATCTGTACCACTTATCCCCAGTCGGACCCCTCACTAAATGGCACCATCAAGTGGGTTCTATTCATCCACCCTCTCTTCAAATGCATGTCTCTTAAATGCTCCTTCCCTTTCGCCTCTAAAGTAGATAAAAAGGGAACATAAGAGATGTTTACTCCTTTTTTCCTTTTTTCTTTTTAAAAAGTGATAAGGGGTTAGCTTTATTCGATGAACGAAGATCATTGAGAGACAATGGATCTTCATATTCTGCGAAAAAACATATAAAATAATTAGATACCAGGCTACACTCATGTTTATTTTTTATCTGATTAATTAATAAGGACATTCACCGCAAACAAACGACACGTAATATCAATTGACCTATGCTAACATAAGAACTGATTTTATTTGTATCATTTTCTATTTATTTATGACTGGTTTATAGGATCTTTTTATTGCATTCCTGGGCCTAACCGTAATAACATAATGTAAAAATAGAATTAGAATATTCAAGTGCCAAAAAAAAAAAAAAGCTTATCTACGCAATTGCGTAGGCGCATACAGACCAGGATCCATTTTCATGGATCCGGAAAGGCCTAAGAGTGAGTGGTTAGTGTCTACTTTTCTCTCCCTGCTTCTGTTTTGGGCCTAGAGCCTGTTCCATTACAAAAGGTCAAAAATTAAAGTTGTGAAAAGACACAAAATGTTGCAGACCAAGATGTGATTTCCAAATTTCGATTTTTAATTTATTAAAAATTTATTTAATAAAAGTCAGTATAATAAAATTTATATTTAAATATATATTTTTAAAAGTTAGTTTAATAAATTGAAAATTATTTGGATATAATAAAATATGTTTTTGAATGTATAATTATTAAAAAGAATATTAATTTATGATGATTTATAATTTTTATTATATAAATGTAATATATTTAAAATATTTAAAAAATATAATAAAATTTTTAAATTCCATAAAATTTTATATGTTAAATAGTAAAAACAAAATTAAAAAGTTTGATATATTAAAAAATTATATAATAAATAATTCAACATATATTAATATTAAAAATTAACATAATTGAAATGATATATATGATAAATTTTTTATTCAAAAAATATTTAACTAATTGAATAAACCTTTGTTCGTTAATAAAAATTCTAAATAACATAACAAATAGTTGAATTTACATCAATGCTAAAAATTAACAAGATTAATTATTCAATTTCTAATGCTAAAAATATAATTTCTAATGATAATTATTATTAAATGATATTTATATTTTTAATAAGTTAATAATATATTTTAAATAAAAAGAATAATATATTAAAGGGGTAGCATGATCAAATAATCCCTCGCTTTTTTTAGCAAAAAAAAAATATTTCACTTTTTAAATTCTATCTCAAGTTATTTTTGTAAATCTACACTTAAATCACTTTAAGAAATACTTTTTAAAAATATATTTTTTAATTATTTAATATTTAAATAACTATTCACATTTCAAATATTAGAAAGTATTTCCTAAATGTGAGATGTGGTCTGTCCAATCAGTCATGCTTTCACAGAATTTTCTCAAGGCAGATTACTCTATTCTCTGTGTTCGTGCAAAGTTTGAATTACATTTCTCAAGTTCTTCGCAGGACATGCAGAGATGATCATACAGTTTTACTTTTGCTTAAGACCTCTGCTTCAAGGTAAAAACAGAGGTTAGTTTTTTTTTTTTCTTATGATATATATGCTACTCGTGAAAAATATTTCTTTCATTTTGTAAGAACAGCAGTGCCGTATCGTTTGCACTTGGATCTAATTTCGTCTTGCGAATATTTCAAAGCACATGCATGAATGAATACTGATCATAATGATTTATAAATAGCATGGATTTTTTTTTTAATAAATTACATATGTGCGCGCGTGCGTGTGTTGATTTTGATTGCAATAGCACAACTATTTTAAAACCACAATGTATACAATTCTTGCCTCGCAGAGAAATTATTTTATTCACTTTTTTTTTGCCGGCTATTTTATTCACTTAACCTAAAAGGCATTTAGTCGAATCAAGTTAATTTTACTAGCAAACAAGGGGCATATTGAATAGGATTACAATGATTAAGAGTTTGCAATTGTAACTAACCTTCTAACAAGGTTCATGATTATGGTTTTCTCATCATGTTTTCTTAGAAATACATGTATACAACTAATTTCCCCAATAATTTAAAGTCAATATGGGTTACAGTATAATGGGAAGCAAATCTAGAGTGGTTGCGCAACAAAATGTTCCCTCACAGAGAAATTATTATTATCATTACTATTATTATTATTATTATTATGTAAACGAAAACAGGAGTATTTCTTTAATGACTAAAATGCATAAACTCTTTGAATTTTAAAGTAGTTGCATATGACTCATCTTTAAAAATTTAAAATTAACTCTTTTAATCTTTAATTTTATTTTTCAAAGCCTCTAGTGCTAATTATGTTATTTTTTATAAGGGTTAAAATGTTATTTAACTGAAAAATATTATCAAACAAAAATATTATATTGTATAACTATTTATAATCAATTTCTTATAATATTTAGATAGTTGAGGTATTGATAATCAAAAAAATATTATTATCACTGTATAAAATTTTAAATATTTATATTTATATTAGTTTTATCAATATTTTTTATTATCAATGGTACATGGTTTTATTATTTTAAAAGATAAATTTTTATTTATATTTTTATGTTAGACAAATGTAATGCACATAGTTAAAATATTTAAACTTTTAAATATTATCATGTTATATTAATTTATTTTTTTTAATACAAGAAAAGTATGTACTATTGATAACAAAAAAAGATGAAACTACTACACAAATAAATATTTAAAATTTTATATAGTGATAATAACCTTTGTTTTAGCTATTATCAATGTTTCAACTATTCAAAAAATATAAAAATTAATTAGCTATGATTCTGCAATATATTATTTTGTTTAATAATTTTTTTTAGTTAAATAGCATTTTAAGCCTTATGAAAAAAACATAATTAATAATATAGGGTTTTAAAAAATAAAATTAAAGGTTAGGGGGTTGATTTTAAACATGTAAAGGTTAAAGATGTCACATGTAACTACTTCAAAATTAAAAAAAAAATTATGCATTTTAGCTTTATTTAATTTGAATGTGAGCAGTGCCATTCCTTTTCCCTTTTTCCCTTAAGCTGTGTTGGTTTGAGAAAAGAGGAGGAAAGGTGATGGTTTTAATGTTACCTGTTTGATTTTGTTAGAGGAAATAAATTTTTTAATTATCTCTTATTTGGTTTAGGAGGAGAGGAGAGGGGAGGTATTAACTAATTAATCATTATATCCTTATATCTAAGTTTTATATTTTTTAATCATTCCTTATGTAAATTAATCGCATACCTTAACCCAAATTGCAATGTTTATATGATTTCACATTTTAAAACTTTGTCAATAATCATGTCAAATCTACACAGCTTAGGAGAAAAACAAATTAAAACTGAATTATTTTATTTGTTAATTCTCAAATTAATTTTAATATTTCTTGAAGTATAAGAGGAGAGTGGTTCGTTCAGATATTCACGCATGTCATTGTGTCAGTCTCTCCCCTTCAAGCCTTCACCGTCAAGCTCGAGAAAGAAGGAGCTTTGGATGATCTCTTGCTCTATGCATCAACCCTGTGCAGAGGAGAGCGAGGTCCATGGACCATGATGATGCCGACAGTGAAACTAATAGCTTGGGTGAGTCAACCTATAAGAAGAAGAATGTTGCTCGCTTGGGTGACTTAATCTGGAGGAAGAAGGCTCTCACAAGTGCAGGAGCAATTTTGGTACTTGGACATTATTGGAATATCAATAATAAATTAAGGGTAGATTATTCATAAATTTTGCCTCCCCTCCAGAAAACTCCAATTTAAAAGGAGCCAAAATGAGGGAAGGGGAGGGAAAATTTTAGCTCTCCTCTCCTTCAAAATTTTTGAATCGACTGAGGGAAGGGGAGCCATTTCCATTCTCCATGGGAGACAGAGTAAAACAGCAGGAACAAACATGTTGTCTTTTGAGGGGAGGTGGGGGGAGCATTTTGCCTCTTGATGATCAGACTTGTAGCCTATGATAAGTATCATATTATCTTTTGATAGTACTCCCTCTGTCGCAGATCATATTATCTTTTCAATGTACTCCCTCTGTCGCAGTTTATAATTTTTTTTAATAAAGTTATAGGTATCAACAAAATTTATTAAATTTATTTACAATTTTATCCTTTAAAAATATAATTATAAATT